TCTACTGTCCATTCTAATGGACAAAAACATTTTAAAAAAAATCCTGATTTAAAACGTGCAATTCTACAGTCGATTTTTAACTTTAATTAATAAATTCAATCTTTCTATTTTGCATACAAACTATGAAATACTGGCAAAAATATATACAAAATGTAAAAACACCTTATAAAAATGTTGCTTGCTTCTGTGTTTGGAGTGAAGTGCCGCCATGCTTCTCTTCAATGTAGAGTTTATATATATATATATATATATATATATATATATATATATATATATATATATATGAAGAGTTCAGATGCAAAAGCCTCTAAATGCCATTTGAAATTTTCTTCTAAAATGACAATTTTTATCAAGCTTGTATATTTAAGTTCAGTAATTTCACTTAAATGGCAATTAATAGGTAATTATCATTGCCATTTAAGTGAAATCACTAAACTTAAATATACAAGCTTGATAAAAATGGTCATTTTAGAAGAAAATTTCAAATGGCATTTAGAGGCTTTGCATCTGAACTCTTCATATATATATATATATATATATATATATATATATATATATATATATATATATATATATATAATTACTACATGCAGAGCTTTTCTGGCATTTGATTGGATGACAAATGTCCAATCTCATGGACTTGCAGGCTTTAAACCTGGTGAAATGCTCCAGAAGTTAAAAAAGGGGGCTGACATGTGATGTCCATTGTAATGGACACAGGGTCTGAATGGGATAACAGTTTAAGCAACAAAGTCTACTTTTCAGTTTCTGACTTCAGTATCTGCTAAGTGAACAGTATCAAATTTTATTGATTAAACTTGAGTAAACAATTATGCTTATTTCTTTTAGAATGATGATCATAATTTCATAAACATAAAAACACACCAAAAAGTTTTTTTTTTTTTTTAAATTAAATATTAGTTCACCCTCCAGAGACAATTAGCCTATAATTTTTTGAAGAGAAAATCTATTTAAAAATCTCTCTTTTCACCCTAAATCTTGTTTGTTTCTAAACTTAAAAAGTGTGAGGATAAGATCACATCCTCTCACATCCTTTTGAATTGTTCAAAGAGAAAGAGATCCTCAAACAGGTGTTCTCGAAGGCACTCAGTGAGACATACTGCCACTCAGAGGACATGGCTAAACCCGGGCTTTGTTCATTTACCGATCGCAGGGATGTTGCTAGAATGTTCACAAGATTCAGTTGAATTTTGTCTTTTATTGTTATTGATCGTTGAACACCTTTAGATTTCTTATCCACATTACACAATAGGACATGTTTACATTGTTTGACAGGTTGCAGAGTGTATTTGAATTTGAATGCTGATGGGTGAATACGTAGAAATTAACTTCCGTTTTTTAAATCTTCATCTTTTAAATTTTCATTTGTAAGCAGAATGAATCACATTTTTCCTGAAGTGACACTGTGTGTTGTGTTTTGTGTGTGCGCTCTGACATTTCAAACAGAGCTGAGGAGTGTGAAGTGATGTGGGAGGCTGTGTCACTTTTTTTTTTCCTCACCCACACCATCATCTCTACACAGTCGAACCATGTCTGGGTAACCATTGTGGAATCCCTGTTGCATAGCAACACATCTCCAACACATTCCAGACAAGTGTTACTTCTGTTTTGCAGTTGCCATATTCAAGTCTTTCCTCGGTATTACTCGTTCTTTCACTGTAGACAAATGAATTCAATGCTGAGCACTTTAACAATAAAACAATTACACCTTGGTTCACCACAATTGTCATTATGTCAATCATACATCATGAATGGCATCTAAGGCACCTATCTATCACCTGGCATCATCTATCTATCTATCTATCTATCTATCTATCTATCTATCTATCTATCTATCTATCTCTATCTGTGTATTAATCATGCGTTTTTACTGTAATATATATATAGTTTTTATCTTTTTTTTTCATTTTATTTTAAATAAGCACCAGCAAGGAGTGCTTTCTCCAGCTGTGCTCACAAACCTTCTGTGGGTTTGCTGTCAGATTCAGTATTACAGTTTTTTTTATTCGCTTTGGTACTATTTTCACAAGTAAGGTGTACATTTTCAAAACTCTTAGTGCTAATATCACAACAGATCATCAAAAGTGCACTTTTTTCAAACATTTCATCATGTTTTCAACTGTGTTAGTACAATTCACACAATCACAAAGTATCCTTTTCACAACACAAAATAAGTGTTTCATCTACATTATTGTTTCATTCACAGTAACTGCCTTTCATAAAGCTCTTACTATCAAACTTTTGATTTGCATCTCTTTTTGTTCAGTTTAATACTTTTGTCTATTATTTAATCCAACAGATCTTAATGGTTAATCAATTAATCATTTGGTAAACCTATAGATTTTCATTTCAGCAATATACAGTATATGGATTTTGAGAACTACAGAAATAAAATGTGTGTTTGTATGAATATTTAAATTACATGTAACCAGTAACCACACATGATGAATACTCGTTATAGCTATTTTTATTTTTTATTTTTTCACATTTTTTTTCACAGTCTGACCACAATTGGCCACTATGTACTGTAATGTGTGCACTAAATGTTATGTTTTGTTCTTCTTTAGTTACATTTCATTATAGAAAGTATACCTATGTTACAATTATATCTGAAAAATAAAAAGAATAATTTGCCTAAATGATTGTAAAGGATGTCTTCATTGATCCTTCAATTTGATTAGGCCTACATATATGATGGATATTTGGAAATTATAGATTATGTAAATGTTGGGTACTGTAAGTGTATTGCCTAATGTTACAGTAAAACTGTGTAATCTGTCTTTTATAGTACTGTAGCATATTCATTTCAGCACTTCTAAGGCCGATTTGAAACATGTATCTTGCATTGTTTGCTGTTGAATGAACTGATTGTTAAAAGTACTAAACTGAAAGAAGATCATATTGTTGTGTTTCAGTGATTAAACCAAATGTTCTCATTACATATTACAATAATCTTGTGTTTGAAATAATTATTATGTGGACTGAAAACATGTGCAACTGACTGAAAGCATTACATCAGGTTTTGAAAGAATGACTAGCTGCGTTACAAGTGTGATCAGTTTGGATTTTTGTACTAAGAGTTTTGAAAATGTACACCTTACTTGTGAAAATAGTACCAAAGCGAATAAAAAAAAACTGTAAACCCCCTATCCTTAAATAGCTGTGTAACACTGTGACACAATCAAAACAATCCAAGCTGAAATGTGTCACGCAAACTAGAGATCAATCTGAAGTGATCAGAATCATCAGGTGATAAAGGTGTCTCTCTGTTACGTAAGTCACTTGTTTTTGTAAGTCCCAGTAACTGAGCAAGCCTAAAGTACACCATACCGTTCAAAGGGTCAGTAAGAAAAGAATACTTTTATTCAGCAAGGATGCATTAAATTGATCAAATATGACAGTAAAGATTTTTTCATTATTACAAAAGATATAGTTTAAATAAAAACTTTCTTATAACCATATTAGAATGATGTATGAAGGATCATGTAACACTGAAGAATGGCCGCTGAAAATTCAGTTTTGCCATGACAGAAATACAATATACTAAAATAGAAAAGAGTTTTAAATTGTAATAACAGTTCACAATATTATACCGTATTTTGATTAAATAAATGCAGCTTTGTTGAGGAGAAGAGACTTTAAAAAAACCCAAACATTAAAAAATCAAAAAAAAAATCAATGGACTCATACTCATTAGCTTTTGAATGGTATCGTACTGGTACATGACGCACTTTATTTAAAATTGTATTTAAAATGACATGGCAACTTTAATTCTAAAGAATGTTCAAAAAAACATTTTTTGCTTAAAAAATAAAAATATTTTCAAATAGTGTTGTGTCATGTTGCTTTCAAATTTGCTCAAAAGCACTTGAAAAGATTGTATTCACTTTGTATTCAAGAATTTTTCATTAGTTCTGCGCCAACCTTGACATTTTTGTAACTAATGAGTCCATTGATTTTCAGTTTTAGTTCTGTCAATATGAAACAGTGGAGCAGGTAGCAGACAAGGTTTGTGCTTGTGTGATATTCTGGATATGGATACACACATCACATCCATTCCATTAGCAATCTCTATTGGTGTATGAAAAGGGAATGCATTTTAATTATTTATTATTTATTTATTTATTTATTTATTCGGGGGGGTAAAAGTCGAGTGTAAAGAACAGGATTCTGAAGGAGAATATGGACAAAGGAGTGATCATTGCTTTGAGCAAGAGTTTGGGTTACAGGAACATTCTTGTTCAATTGGCTAGAGAACCATTTATTTTATCTTGGGGCACAGCCTCTTTACAGCATGCTAAAAGTGCAGCACAAACAAATTGGGAAAATTAAAATGGCAAGCCATGCAGAAAATCTCTTAATGTCCGGAGGTGAGCCCACCACTGCCTGAAAATGTAGGAGTGCTAAGAAGCTCTGGATCGGGAGAGAAAAATAGTTTTAACCTATAGGATATGCCTAGGCTATATTCTTTAAATAATCTTTACCAACATGTGTAAGGGTATGTTGATTCGGTTGATTCACACGATTCATCAGAAATTATGAATAATCCAAATTAATTAATAAATATTTGATTTATCATTTATTACTGTAAATGAGACGTGTGCATGTACGCCTACTTTATCTTGATTTAAATTTAACGGTTCTGTCTCAAATACTTGTTTAACATACATATTTAACATACGCAATAGTAGCCTGCCTGAATTCCAAGACAGGAATACTCTACATTACAATAATTCATAAAAAAAAAAAAAAAAATGATGGCACGGTAGCACGGTAACTTAGACGTCGGATGAAGGTTTATTTTCCAGGGTAAAGTGTACTAGTGCCATCTTGTGGACAGCATGAAAATATCGGAATAACCTACCATTTTTAATAAATTGTGGTTTAGGACATAAAAGAACGTTTCGTTGTAATACGTTAAATTTTCTTCTTATGTATATAAAAAAGCGTTTCATTGTTATTTACATTCATTAAAGGATTTCTAAGCGGAACCCATGGGGCCAAAGTGTTTTCTCCCGGAAACACGGAACATTTTTCGTGTGACATCAAAATGGCTGCGCTCTAGAAAGTGGTAAAATTATTGTAATAAAAAAAAAATTAAGGGTCATGGTATCTCCGTTTGTAAAGAAACAACTATAATTTGCCGCCAGAATTGAAGGTATTTATTATTTATTTTTTTGCAGTTGTCAAATGGCTTTGTTCACTGATGTCTGCCGTAGTGTTCGCACGCTGTTAGGTCAAAGTCAGAGATCTGCGGCTGCAGCGGCGTGGATTCATTGTCAGCTGTGTAAGTAACTGTAAATAACTAGACCTTTCAAATAATTCATTGTTTGCTCTTTGCTGGATGTGTGGGTTAAATTATACTGGCGACAAAATCACAGTGGATTTGGAGATACGCAATCTGCTCCCTAAAAAATAGTAAGTTATCGTTTGTGTTTGGGATCAAAAGCAAATAAAATAACAACAAAAGGAAACAGCTAGAAATTCGATATGATAAACCCCATAACTGATTGACTTAAAATTAGAAGAATGGCTGTAGATTTATTTTTTAAAAATTGTGTTCATGATGTGTCTCTTTCCACTAGCTCGGAAATACAGTAAGGCGGCACCTGATCCAGAACCAGTGGTCAGTGAGAATGAAGCCATCAATAAAACATTTGTTAACCGAAACCCAAGAAACCTGGAACAGATGGCCCTTGCAGTAAAGGATCGAGGCTGGGGTACAGCGTGGCCCTCTAGACAGTATTATCACAGGTTTGTAAGCATCCCAATTGTTTAAAATGGTTTAAAGGAATAGATGTAAATAGTAAAACATGCTGAGCACGTCCCTACTAACAGCTTTCTAATGGCATCTTCCAGATAAAAACATAGATGTACACTGTACATTTTTTAAGCGTATACCTTTCCTTCCTCAGGTTGGTGTTCAGGCGCACGCAGCATCACATCACAGCTGAGGTGTTCTCTAGTGACTCAATAGTTCCTGTGTTGTCTTGCTCCACGAAGGAGTGGGCATTGAAGCGCGAGCTGGGCTCCACACGGTCTGTAGCGGCTTGCCGTGCCGTAGGTGATGTGCTTGCTCAGCGGTGTCGTGAAGCAGGCATCACACGTGTTGTTTATCGAGAGATACCGTGGAAGTTTCGCTCGGAGGCGGTGAGTCATCGAATGCCTTTCTGCGTTGAGTCTTCAAGTATTATACATTGATAGCCCGATATACTAATTTATGCCTTTTCTCCCACTTCAGAATCAAACGTTCTGGATGGCCATGAAAGAGGGTGGTGTCACACTTAATGAACCAAGGCGAAAATTCATTTGATTTTTTTTTTTATTATTACTATCCTGAATAGTGTCTTCATCTGTAAATATAAATATCCTCAACTTTCAAACTGTGTGTTCATTGAGTCGATTACAGTTTCATGCAGCAATTAGAATATTTGGATAGAGTAATTTATTTTTGGTTTGATTCAAATGTGAAATGGGGAAAATTAATTTATTAATCTTTCAAATGTATTTTGACCAAGAAAAAGAATGACATACAGTTTAGTAGTGTCATTTGTACACTACCATAAAAACGTGGGGTCAGTAACATTTTCTTTTTATATATAAATAAATCATTATTTTAATTTAACAAGAATGTATTAAACTGATGATGAGAAAGACATTTATAATGGGACAATAATGTATTTAAAATAAATGTCATTTACACTTACTACTCATCCTAAAATCCTGGGCAAAACATTGCACGATTTCCACAAAAATATTAAGCCGCATATTAGGCAACTGTTTTCAACTGCCAATAAGAAAATATTTCTTAAGCAGCATATCAGCATTTTAGAATGACTTCTGAAGGACAATGTGACACTGCTTGGATACATTCTCTTGATGGCTGATCTTTCACTCAGTGCAGGTGTCATTTGGATTAAATCTAAAAACTTGAACTATTACGCGAATTGCTCCAACGTTATTACAGGAAGGCGGTACAGCAATCACGTTTTCTGTGCGCAAATATCTGAAGCACATGCCCAGAAAGCTATACCTCCAAGAGAGCGCGCAACTATAGCCTATTAAATTGAGCTTGTGCTTGAACTGAAAAATTCACACAATTATGTTAAATTACTTGAATCATAGTAAAGATATTTCCAGTAATAAAACCTGGGTTCTCCCAATGTTTTTTTTCTCCATCCAATCTGATGGAGTTTTGGTTCCTTGCCACTGTCGCCTTGCTTTTGGCTTGCTCAGTTGGGGTTATTTAGTGTTTAGCAATATTATTGATCTGTGTTGTACTACTTTCATGTTATCACCGTGAAGCTGCTTTGATACAATCTGTATTGTGAAAAGCGCTATATAAATAAATGTGACTTGACTTGACTAATATCTGTAAAACATAGATTATATTTTTACAGTACCAATATGAAGAATTGAAATATCTTAAAAACTGAAACACAAATTGATGCAGAAACAAAAACATAGTCAATTAGATATTTCTCAAGCTCCCATTATGAATTCAATTTAATTTTTAAAGCACAGACAACCTTGTATATCAAATCAAAAAGATACATGTTAAGGTTGCATAAATAGAAAAAAAAGCAACAGCAACTTTGACTTGATATTTAACCCCATCTGATACCAACAATGAAACTGAGTTGCATTAGAATAAAATGCATTACTGTTTTTGATATTGATAAGGCATGGCACATTATACACAAGGTGAGGAAAATCAGCACTTTGAAGGCTGTGGGTTATTAGCATCACTAACACACAATTTAAGACATTCTTGTGGAAAATAACTGCAAAACCAGTGGTGTCTCAATACTAAGAACATTCCACAACATAACTTTGGTTTCACAACATTGGCACTTTGTGCAATGACTATACACGTTTTAACAAATGTTTTACAGCAGATTGTATATATATACTTTATACTTACAGGACTCGTGCTCCACAAAGACAGGCTTGCATACAGAACAAACAGCATGCATACAGTCATGAGACATCATGCAAAGACACAAATCAACCACCCCTTTAGCTAAAGACAAGTATTATGTAGGAGTTAGTTGTGTTCGTTTTAACTGCATGAACATTAAAACCAACAAAAGTAGTTATTTTGGTCCACCTCTATAAACTAAAGGCACTGAACCATCATGCAGAATGAATTAAACAGATCATGGCACATATGGCAAATACAAATTACGGAAAATACTCAGGTCTTCTAGGTTTTGTTTCCTGCATACTATACAGGTTAAAAAACAAAAACAAATATTAGACAACATCTGTTTAATTGAAAAAGATGTGGAAAATAGCTCCAAATTTCAAAAATATGCCTGACACCTTAAATATTTAACAATATCTGTCTAATAACTCAAAAGCTTGGGGTCAGTATGATTTTTTTTTTTTTCTCTGAATGAAGTCTCAACACCTGAAATTATTTGATTAAAAAATACAATAAAAACAGTGATATTGAGCAATATTATTATGATCAAAAGTAATGTTTAAAATAATATTTTTCTATACGTTTTAAAATGATGGTAAAGCTCAATACTTCAGTGTCATGATCCTTCAGAAATCATTCTAATATGCTTATTTACTGCACAAGAAACATTTCTTTTTATTATCAATGTTTTAAACAATTGCTTTTAAGGAAACCATGGAATACATTTTTATATTAAGCATATGCATGCGCATATATACATTTTATAACATTGTCTTTAGTGTCACTTTCAAACTATTAAAAGTGTCCTTGCTAAAAAAAAAAAAAAATACTAATAGTCTTTTTTTTTTTACGAAAAAAAATCTTACTGACCCAAAACTTTTGAATGGTATTTTACACGGAATACTAAAACGTTTAATCCTTGATTGCTTTATCAACACTTTTTCAACTACTGATCTCCACAGAGCCAATCTAAAGCTTCACATTCAATGAGAGAAAACAGCTATAAAGTGGATTATTGCATAGGACTCATAAAATGAGTGAGATCACACTCTTCTTAAGAACAACATGAAACAATGCTATAAGAGGATTGTTCGTATTTCCGTATAATGAGAAATACAGCAAAAAAAAAAAAAAAAAAAAAGTCCACTCCATCTATAATATCATATTAAAATCTGTTAAGTAAACTGAATTTTATGGCTCAGTATGAAGGTGCAAAGGATACAGAAATATCAAAAGGCACAAGGTGACAATTAGAATGATAATGCTCTGAGGAAAACGGTTCCTTTATCAGTACTCACTTGACAATGGGTGGCTGACAGAAACCAGCTGTTGTAGATATTTTTTTACAATCCAGCTGAGACGATGGGCAGGTACAGGAAAATAAGTAAGATATCTATTGATATGTAACCATGTGCTTTTGTGTGTTGCCTCCAAGCGAAGTCATCTATCCAGCAATTATATGAACAGATTCCCTTCAAAGAACTTGGAATGATACAATCAGAAGGCTAAGTCTAGTGTGCAAGAGTGTCCTTTATATTAGCATCACTAATTTGTGATCCCTTTCCTCACCTTATCACTTTTTTATTCCCGTCTCTCCATATTTCTTAACACGAGCCCTTTAAGCGCTTCAGAGACCGGCTTCATCCTGATTTGTGTTCTGTGGCTGTCTGCAGCTTGGTCCAGGAGAAACATCAACATGTTTTTTCTGATGAGTCAAGCCCCTCCTTCCGTGACTCCGCCTTCGTTGTGCAGGAGAATATCGCTGACAAACAGGAATTCTTCGGTTAATGATTGCTTGCATGTGATTTGACTTGTTTTTTCACATATCGATATGAATAAAATGCATTCCAGACTTTTTCCTCTCACCTCTTTCTCAATCCTGTCTCGGTCATCATCGTCAAGTTGGATAGACTGCATAAGAGAAAACAAATCCATCCTGCCACTTCTGCTGGGGCTGGATGACATCTAGGAAATAAAGTTTAGCAGACATTTAAAAACCATTACTTATAATAGTATATAAATCCATACAGACATTTAAACGCCTTTATCTGGTCTAACCTTATCACTTTCTTGAATGGTAATAAGTGGGTTGGATGTGGCCGTCTCTGCCCCATGGGTATCAGGAATGCTCTCATCAAACTGCTCAAAGACCTGAGAATGCCACAGCCATAGAAATAAACATACCTCTGATTAAACCGATTTAAAAACTAAAGAGATGCTGAAAAAAAAACTTTAAGACACTTACATCCGTCTCCTCTTCACTGCCTTCCTCTTCATCTGGGCTCTCTGATTCTTCCTCTTTCTGTTCATGTTCACTCCCTGTGGCTGTTTCGTTGTGGACAGACGGCTGACGGACATCTGACTTGGATTTCCTCCTCCAGAGGGCACTGTGACGCTGTTTACTGTACGGCACATTGCAATGTTTGGAATGAAATATAGTAATGCTATACATATATACATATATATATATATATATATATATAAAAATACAAAGACAGCAGTTGACATTACTGCCATTTCATTCTACACATTGGAAATGGAAGGTCACATGTATTAAATACACAGCAGAAAATTGTCACATTATGCTGCAAAAAAGCCTCTACCAATGTGCGTCTATGAATGGGTATATTATACACTTATAGGAAATCTATAAATTTATAGTCATCTGTTTATGCTGCAGTTGATCAAAAAGGATCCAGTATACAGAAAGTCGTGTAATATATAGACTACCATTCAAAAGTTTTTGAATAGATAATTGTGCAGGACGCATTAAACTGAATAAATAAAAAATGGACTCTAAATGCACGTTACAAAAGATTCCCATTTCAAATAAAAAGCTGTTCTTTTGAACTTTCTATTCATCCATTACTGGTTCCACAAAATTATTAAGCGGCATAACCGTTTTCAACATTGATGATAACAAGAATTCTGAAGGATCATATGACACTGAAGTATTAGCAGCTGAAAATCCAGCTTTGTACTCGCAGGCATAAATGATATTTTAAAATATATTTAAATACAAAACTGTTATTTTAAATTGTAATATTATTTCATAATATTATGGTTTTTACTGCATATTTAATCAAATAAATGCAGCCTTGGTGAGTGAGAGATTTCTTTCAAGACCTCAAACTTGCCATTTCAAATGAGTGCGTATCTGCACTATTCAGTTCCCTCACTTACACACGGTTGAACAACAAACCAGACTTGACTTGTCTGTACCTGAACATCCATTGAGAAACTACACAAGTGGGAAAGTGTCTGTATTTCTGTATGAAAGCTTGTTTTCATGAATGCACCAATCTCAGTACAGCACCATAATGAAAGCGTAAGTCACCTGGCACTGAGGATGCCACTATACGTATGCAGCTGTTTTAGGAAACCGTCATTGGGCTGCACTATAGGCCGTCTTTCTCTCACGTGGATGAGGGCTTGGTCTAAAGTCCAGCCCTGCTGCTTCATCAGGAAAGCAATTACTGTGGAGGCAGAGCGAGAGACGCCCATCTTACAATGCACTAGTACGGCCTGTCCACTCTTCCTGTATCATCAGTAAAAACAATGACATAAAACATTAGCATGAGAGAGATAGCACACAACGACATAATCTAATAATTTTCATAGGGGGTTAGCATATCATACTGCACGTGTGTCTAAATATGAACTAATGCATTTTAAGAGAAGGATCAGTGTGGGAGGTCTGAACACAGAAAAAAAACAAAATGCATGCAAACCATAAACAAAAATAAGGAAGAGGAGTGTGTGTGTGTGTGTGTGTGTGTGTGCGTGTGTTGACCTTGCTTCACTGATGAACGTGTATGTGTTATTCCAGTGTGAGAGTAGGTCGGTCGCCTCCACATCGTAAACTCTAATATTCATATAGGTGAAGCATTCTGGGAAAAAGTTGTCAATCTCCATGGTAACATTCAGGATGTAGCCCACACTACCAAAAAGAAAAACGGTCTTTTTATTAATCTGCTGCAGAAAATCTTAAATTTAACAAGAATAACTAAATTATGTTTGATTAGTACAAATATAATAATTCAATTATTATTTGATTCAAATATTAATTTAAATGACTAAATTATTTAAAAGAAATTGTAATCATAATTAAATTTAATCTGTATACTTGTTCTTATGTAGTTCTTCATAGTTGGCAGCATTCCATTCTGAACCCTTTTGGGGTGGAAAAGACAAATAAATGACAGTGTATGTTTGAAACAACAGTATATTGGATTAGACCAAAGACAAATGTCATTACTCACCAGGTAAAGGTAGTCCAATATTCTGGAAGGTTTGTCCATCTGCGCCATCGTGACCATCATCTCGTTGTCAATATACTCCTTGTAGTCCTTCATGTCTATGCCTATTCTGGTCTCCAGGGCCGTTCGCACCTACAAACACACAGAAAAAGTGGCTGTAGCTCACCGGCAAGCATTGGGCGCTGGCAACACCCTAAAGTCATGAGTTTGGCTTATACTACATTATATTAAAAGGCAAGTCACATGACATACAATGCTTTCAAACATCAAATCAAGCTGCTCACTAAAAGATGCCTGAAAGTTGTGTTTATACCACAAAGATTCTCTGGATAAGACAGCAAGCCCAGGCACATTAACCTTGAGTAAGTTCTAGAATAAGAGAATCTTTAAAAGGTGAAGGTGCCTTCAGGCTTAAACTACCGTTCAAATGTCTGTGGTCGGTGAGATTCTTTTTTCTTCTTTGAAAGAAATTAAAACTTTTATTCAGCATTGACACTGACTGTCTAGGGATTCAAAGAGTCCTGAAAAATGAGAAAATTGAGAAAGCATAACTGCTTCTAGCATTGATAATAAGAAATGTTCCTTTAGCACAAAAAGAAAAAAAAATGATGATTTCTGAAGAATCATGTGACTGAAAACAGGAGTAATGGCTGTAAAAAAAAAAATTAAAAAAATCCAACAAAATCCAAAGAAAGAAATTGCAGCCTTGACGAGCATACGAGACTTCTTTGAAAAAAAAAAAAAAAAAATCTTTTTCTGAAATCTTCAAAAAAGAGTTTTGAACAGTAGTGTACTTTAAACAACCTTAAAGAAGCCATATTAAAGTCCAAGCAAAAAAACAAAAACAAAGCGCTGTTCAGAAATGTTCATGTTTGTGACGTCACTATTTTACCAATGTCTCTGTTATTTCAGTACAGCGCTTACATATTGTGTGGCACATTTCAATGTAATATGGCTCACAATATCACAATAAAATCCTGGCTTTGCAAAGCAGCTGTGGTGAACAGGATGGACAGCAAACCCACAACTCCGTTAAGTAAACATTGTTGCATATATATGCAAAGAGGTTAAGCAATAGGTTGACCAATCATAACAAAGTTCATTTTCATACATACGATCTTAAAGCAAACATAAAATTGCATTTACAACCGATTTGACTTGTATTATATGTAGCGCTGTCAATCGATTAAAACATAACTAGATTAATCACACATTTTTAATATATTCTAGAATGTAATCATTTCACAGTTAGTCTCCAAATTAATGTAGAAACAACATAAAGACAGTATATTTTAAATACTTGTTTAAATGACATCTTTTTATGAATGAAGGCCATTATCACTGACAGTATGCACTGCATAAATTATAAATTAAATATAGATTCATCCTTATTAAAGTCCCCGTGAAATCAAAATTGAACCTATTTACTTTGTTAGCGCATATTACTAGTCTTGTGGTGAACAATTAATCCGTGCAAGTGAATATATATTAAAAAAATGTTTTACCTTAGTAATCTTTAATCAAAATCTGAAAAGTTACTTCCGGTCTGGAACGGTTTCTTTTTCTGATGACGTAGGTTTCACAGTTTGGGTGGGGAAACGCGTAACCACTACCCTCAAACCGTTAGTTTGCTATGAGCGAGAAATAGAGAGGAGGAGCGCTAGAGTAAAACCCTGCCCTCTGTTCAATATTCCGTTTCACTTGGAAATACGTCACTGCACTGGAGAAAAATCGTTTGCAACTTCCGGTTCACGGGGACTTTAAAGCTACAAAAATTCACGTTTTCATTTTACCTGCTTTGAGGTAATGTTTTCCAAGTCCTCAGTTCTCATGATATCTCGTAGTTGGGCTTTGATCTCCCTCTCCACTGACTCCCGATTGGATGCTGAATTTCCTACGGTGTACCTCCTGACTGACTCCAGGCCAGTCATAGCTCCCCATTCATTAAGGCAGTGCTGGTCAGATTCCACATTTTCTCTGTAATGTTGTGCCCACTCCAGCCCGCAGCCAGGTATGACAGCTCCACGCACGGCCCGTTCACAGCAGCCATGCAGTGCCTGTAACACCGACCTTGTGCGAAGTGAGAGTATCACAGGACAGAGAGTTGTGAACAAGCAATTGACAAACCACAAACACACTTTAAACGTTCAATGAGCAAATTTGGAGACTTTATACAGACGTCTAGAAGGGGGCATGTTGACTGACTAATAGCCAGAAGAGAAACAGTTAAAGCAATAGAATATAAAAGAGCATTATAATTAAAAACAAAGAATTAAGTGTGTGAAGGTTGCATATTGTTTTTAGTTGAGGAAATTGGTAGTTTCCTCAGCATTTCCTGCTTTAAAACTTACCACATCGTCTGAATGGACACAGGCTTAAAGATTCGTGTCACTTCTGCAGATGTCACACTGAAACCTCTGTAACAGAACGAGTGAAGCAAACAGTCAGAAAAGCAGAACCCCGAGGCTCGGGCTTTAACTGTGTATAAAGTTCTGCTGAAATGTACAGATAAAATAAAGTGGATTTTTTTTCAACCAAACTGAACTTTTGATTAAAAACGTTGTTTACATTTTATATCCATTTACATTGCTAATAACAGCCATTCTTCCATGTCTGAAATGTTGACAGTTTCCTAATTTTCAAAAGAAACAAAAACCTTTGTCCTTGAACTCACTCAACCTTTCAAACCACATGAAACGTGAAACTTGAGATTGATGATAAGATAATGATTTCCAGATCACTCTTTCATAGTAACTATAATTAAACTTTTAAGATCCTATACAGTAAATGTTATGTTATACCTTTATTATCATGTGTTTGCACTTACCCATCTCCATCTAGGTAAACCTGTGTGTCACTCCATATTGGCAAGACAAGACCAACAGTGCACTCATCACTAAGGAAGAGTAAAAAAAAAAAAAAAAAAAAACATGAGTGAGAGACATATCTTAACAGCCTTGCTGAAATATAATGTATTTTTTTAAATAACTGCTAAAAGTTTGTTTAACAGGATATTTCAGCCAAAATGAAAAATGTCATTGTTTACCCATCCTGATGTTGATGTAAAACAATAGTACTTTTTTTCTTTTGTGAGACCATACATTTTGTCCATACATTTGATTTAGAGTAAATGATGACAGCATTTACATTTTTGGGGTAATCCCATAAAAACGGCAACTAAACATTCGTAAAAAATCTGCACATTCCCATTCCAAAAACATAGAACAGCCTACTTGAATCATTTGTGTTTGTGAACTGAGATGACCAAAAATGCAACAAAATTTAGGCTGTAAATCTGAGATATACAAATATCCAACACGTCACACCTACAACTGAATATTTATGGATTTATCTCTAATGAAATAAAAGCTTCTTATGATGACTTGATTAGATGGTCTATAAACCTACCTGTTTGAGCCTGGAAAGTCCATGCCAAGTAGTAGGCTCTCCTGTTTTTTGTCAAGTGTGCCAACTATAAGCAAATATCTCAATCTGACTGGGCTTGATGACTCCAAACGCACAGCCTGAGGCAGGGAAAAAGAGAACGTCAGGGTTAATGTATTTAAATGAGACACATAAGTCTAAAATGACACAGCAATTAAAATTAGATTTTTTTTCCTTCATTTAAAGCACAACGCTCATGCAGGGCTATATAAGACATGCTGTTTTTTAATGAACAGATTAACTAAATTAAATTGTATTGCGTGTAAGCGTGTTCAAAAACAAAGCAAAGTCAAAGCAAAGCAGTTTGTCATTTCTGCATAACAGAAGTGTCTCCAGAAACCACATTGCAGAACATGTGACATTAGATAAGCTAAACATAGTGTCTAATAGACACGGACAGTAAGAACAAGCACTTCCATAAATTAGTCTGAAACAGACAATAGAGTAAATGCATAGGGTAGCAATATATCTACATGCTTTGTTCAACAAATTTCCATTATTTTCTAGTCATTTGTGGAATCATTAAAAATCATTTTAAAAAGGTTGTGCTTCCAAAGAGCAATTTCTAGTTGATGATATAAAGAAATTCATATTCTATATAGATTTTTTTTTAGTATTAATTCCAATCACTTTTATAGGCCTCAAAATGACAATTTTGAAAAGAGACCATAAGCATTGAAAGGCAGTGTAGTAAAACAAGTGTGGTTTGGGGGATCCTAACCAGTTTGACTGTGTCCTCTGGTCGTAGTAACGAAATCATTGCATGCAAATGTCTGCGCTGAGTGTCAGAGGCTCGGCCTCCTTGCCTAGGACCAAGTAGAGGGGGTACGGTTTCTTCATGTAATCCCTCCCTCTCTCCCTCTTCCACCAGGAGCACTGCCCCCTTTACCAGGGCGAAACTTTCTCTGGTGTGCGGAAATGAAAAATTAATCAGCAACGCATTTCTAGAGGAAACACTATATACACTAAAATACACATGAATGATTAAAGCTGTCTGTATCAGGAACCTTCACCTTTTCTGAAGTCTTCCTCGTCTTGGGATGAGCTCATCCTTGAAAATACCATTAAGTGGATTAAAATAGATTAAACAAGAAGTACATACAGAACATCATAACTCTAAGATTTACCCAGAGAACGGTGATGTTAAAAAAATGGGTGGTGGGTGAATTGATTATGTAATGCACTTAATTGCAAACAGAGACCAGTAAATTCTGCTTGACTCCTTTGGATCATCGGACACAGTAAGTGCTATTTGCCAAAATGGCTAAATAAAAACTTGAACTGTTAAGCCTTTTTTCGCACCCATTACTCATTCTGAGAAGAGTGACTGGGGAAAAATAGAAAAAAGGATCCTTGGAAACACAATGACAAGGCGCTTTGACAAAAATGGTCAATTGTAATGCAGATGATAAGACACTGAGGAAGCTCATTCTAAAGATGATAAAGGGAGAAACAGATAGAGTACGAGAAGACAGAGAGAAGGACACCAAAGAGGCTGTTATCAGTGCTTCTATGGAATGAAAGAGGAGACAGTAACATTACCTGTTATGTGACTGACGTGTCCAGACAGAGACAAGTAGAAAAAGAAGAGAGGGGGTGGAAAGGAGGAGCAATGAGGTTGTACATTAAAAATCCGGCTAGACTTTACTCTAAATAGTCTGAACATAGGGTGTTATAGAAGATACATACAGTAGTATGCACGGGTTATGGGTGAAAAGGGAGTCTTATGTTAGATAATAAATACTATGCCTAGCACACAATCAAAAGAAACAAAATGATTAATGGACAGTAATAAAAGTTATCAGGCACTTGGTTCTTGGCTCTTTAGCAGAATCCTCACATAATTCTGGGGCTTTATTTGGAACAGTGTGATTCGTGAAATGGATTTTCAGATTCACAGCAAGTTTGGGAAGCGTTTGGAATGCTACCAAGAAGACATTCCTCCTAAATATACACACACTTGTGAGCACAAAAAGGTGTAGAGTATCAGGACACACATGTGGGGAGTGTGAGTAGGGTTAAAAACATGTGGAGAACTGACAATTTTCTTCTGTAGCATTTTATATATGCACCGTTTTTAGACGCAATAAACTCACCGGTGTCGTGCTAATAGATGGCGTTCTGTGCAAGGTCAGCAAAGCCATTCCACAGCCAGGTATCCTGTTTAACACCGGCAGACGAGTCAGAGCAGCTCAACAGAATGAAAGTTTACTGGGCTGAGTAGAAAGAAAGAAAAAAAAAAAAAAAAATGACAGGAAGGTCAAACAGTAGTTTTCTTCATTGTATTAATTAAATATACGTTAATTCTTATTTAAGTAACAAATGTTATTTAGTCAAGAGTAGTGAACGATGTATTGTCTTTTGATGTTTGATTAACATTAAAACACAGACAGCAACTCTCAACTATTTACATTAATTTAAGACATAACCGACTGTTAATAAGGATATTCGCCAAGATGGGCATTTTAATATAATTTTGTGTGAATTAGAAGTAGTGAAAGAGACTCAATTCAGTATTTGCGTACTGTCTAAAATATTTTTTTTTTGACGCTTGAACATTTATGTCTTCAAAACATGTGCAAAGAATAAACTTTCGTGAAGATTCAGCACTGGCCCAATCAGGACAGTGACAATTACGTCATTGTCTAGAGTGTTGTTCACGCTCGTCACCAGGCAGTCCTTATTGTCAAGCCCTGCTGTTTTTTTTTTTTTAAATAATAATTAAATATTTAATTATTTTACCAAGAGAAAAATGTTGGAATAAGCAAAAGACATTTTACAACTCAATGCCTTCACGCAGTTAGTTAATAACCATCAGATTGTTTTATCAGCCTTTTTCATGCTATAGCTTTAAAAAAAAATCAGCCGATAAATATTGATGGTCGATGCATTTTTACTATAAAGCAGACTCAGAATCTGTTAATAAAATCCACATGTGGAGGTCGGCCTCTTATATGCAGTAATTTATAATTCAAGTCAGAGAATTCAAGATTGTTAACCTTCAGAAAGTGTTTATCATCAACCCAAGGGAATTTTATTTGAGCTGTGTATTTTCCATTCACTTCATAAAGTGTTTGGGATTTTGCAGTTATGTAACATGATTACAAATTCAGATGTCATTAAAGCGATCGCGAATAAGAATACTGGTTTGTAGATACTGATAATGACTTATATTTCTCACATTTTAGCACTGCAACTTCTGAGCAAATTTTGAAAATGAAATAAGATTTACTTTATTATTATTATTATATATTAAATGAAAAATTACACTGCTAAAATTACACAATGGTACACAGCTAGATAAATTCATAAAATAAAATGATAATTAAAATCAAAACAATTTTAAATTAAGTTAAGTTTCAAATTTGCACTAAAATGAATTAAATGTCAATTGAACTGACTGTCAAAATTATGACATTGTAGTATTTAATTGTTAGACTGTATCAGATGTGAGATGTGTTAATGTGAGAACTGAGTCAGAAGGTCAAGACATCTGAAGTGAAACAGGCCAAAAACCCTACAAAATTGGATAGACTAACAATGTCTTAAAGGTCTTAAAACTAAATAAACAAACAAACTGGGATTTGTGCTTCGATTTTTTTTAAAGGTCGAGGGACGTGCACCGTATGTGTGGAATGTGCCATAAATTCCCAACACTAAATCATGTAACCTATTGAGATATAACCGAAATTAAACTAAACAGCCAAATGGTTCTGCGGTCTAAGATGGAGACATGCCGTGAAATTGTTTTTGCTATATCCTTGACACATAACAAAAAAGCGATCATGTAAACCTACACATTCTGTTTTGTTTTTTTTTTCACAAAATGTCAAAATATCTGCTTGAAGTTTGTCTATGAAGCTGTAATTATAGCGTAATGTGCGTGTGCGAGTCATATTGATACAGTCTGCCACGCTCAAGCATTACCGTAGCACTACTGTTTAACGAGAAAAAACTTGGAATCTATGAATGTTACATCTTTCAGTTTCACCGTTGCCGAAAAAAAAATCGATCAATTATGCCACATACCTAATACAGCTGATATGTCTGTCTGTAGACTGATGCTTATGCGCATGTAGCTCCAATACAGCAGTGTTTCAAACAACAATACTCGAAGCTTGTCATTGCCAGTTCCTTAAGAAAAGCAAAAGAGGGCGGACTAAACATGGAGAGTTCGCTTACCTGCCGCGTTGAAACGCGTCGGAATAACAAGGATTCCCTCTTAAATAAACCTTCCTCAATAAATCGATGTTAGTTATTTTAATCCCATGACCACAACTTTTGCATTGGTCCAAAATACATTTAAAGGGGAAGGCAGAGCACCGTTTCACCAAACCAGGAAGACATCTTGGCCGAGAAAAGTAAATGTGCCCTTAAATGGAGAGGCGGATCGGGAGTAATTCGTCTCTTAAAGCGACAGTCACATAGTTATTTCTTGATACGTAAAAAAGAGATACAAATCAAGTCAAGTTTTATTTAGCCTACAGAGGGGGTTGCAGCATAGACATATACATTAGACCTCACCTGGGGGTTCTAAGCATGCGTCAAAACCGCCGCCATCTTGGAACAGGGGTCTTGTCATAGGAAGTAGCTAGGTAACGCTGCTATCTCTGCCTTTACTTCGAATTCATTGATGGTGGCGGACTTTTGTGCAGCGTATGTTCACGGATTCACGGTTCACGGATGAAATCTGAACTAGGAAGAATGTTTTACAAAAAATCAAAAATTACAAAAAATTTTCTTTCTGGAATCAATGATAAATACATGTCTGACCGTTGGAACAAACCAAAAAAACAAGAAAAATCGCATTCATGATGATTTGTGATGATTTTATTTGCGTTAGACCTGTGTCTACTACATTGACGCTGATGCATTAAAATGGAGGGGCTTCCCTGTTTCAAGACGGCGGCTCTATTGACGCATTTGTTCCAATGAACTGCCGTATCCAAGGTGAGGTCTAGTGTATATATCTATGGGGTTGCAGTAGCACAAGATCTGCATTTTATAAATAAAAATATGTTAATGACTAAAGAAGAAATACAATTTCAGTTAATTATTTCTTCACAATGCCTAGATAAAAACAGATCAATGTTGAAAGCTTGCTTTTTTATTCTCTTATTTAAAATCTATAGAACATGTCACATCTTACAGCAGTTTTAAAGCAGGATTATGCTATTTTTGAAATTTTGCTCTCAGGGTCCCCCTACAGTTGGGAAACAGTATTGTCTTCTACTACTGTTGTAAAATCTGTCATGGTTACACTAGGGAATACACGCGTGCATTTGTTGACAAGTGATACCCCCGAACTCTGCAGAAGGAAGGAGTTCTCACATCTTGGGCAGACTGCCAGCATTGCGTGTGAAATGTCTTCATCCCAGGTACATTGGCATATATTTCAGCATGTCATATGAATATAGTTTCATGCACTTTATTTTTATCAAATGTCAAAAGATTGCATAGCTCACGTTTACAAGCCAGCATCTTTATAGTGCCTATTGGCTACTGTTTTACATAATTGATATGCTAATTCAATTACATTTTTGTGGTTAGCCATATCATCAACATTATACTATCAAACTAGATGAATCAGCAAATTTGAAAAATCGATTTGCATTATAGCCTAAGGCAAGACACTTTCACCAGAAAAATAAATAACAAAAATGACTATCAGCCTGTAGACATAGGATAGTTGTCTTGACCGATTATTTTTTTCTGTCTAATCATGTATTATTTACTTGAAATATCACATCATCCTTGACAAATACACACACAAAACGAATTATGATGAAAGTACTGAATTGACTGAATTGATTTTCTCTAATTTAAGAAGTCTTGTTCAGCCAGGTAACTCCGCTCCTTCCGATCATAGATTCCGATACATGGGTGGAGCTAACATCTAGCTCCATGTAGTCTTCCGGTTAGAAGTTAACAAGTGAGACGTGACACCATAGTTTTCATTGTTTTTGAACCGCTTTGGTATTTTAAATTACGATTATAATCACTCGTATTACTGTGATATGGGAATCGGTGGTTGTGAGTGCAATTACTAATGTTGCTAGCGTTGCTAACAGAAGATTAACATGAAAAACATTAAATAAAGTGAACATTTTCAAGTTCAAATGGTTGCGTTTTGATAAGGCGTAGTCATTATATATATATATATATATATTATATTTTTTTAATGTAAGTGCCTGGTACTCAGCCAGTGCTACCATTATAACAGCTTTCCGGGGTGGCGTCCATTTTTTTTCTCCGACTCAGACACGCAAAACTTAATAGAACGCTTGAAGTGTGGACGTGACGTCAAATCCGAGGTCCGAGTCGGTTCATTGGCTATAGACATTCTCTGGTGACGCTCATTCATTCGACTGTCGATTAATCATTATTAGGAGTGAATGAAATGTGGGCCTAATGGGATTACCCTACAGTTTATGAGGATAAACCCAGTCCCAGAGCCATTGAAATTTTCTCTGACCAAATCTATATGGACTAAATCCAATACTCTATCTCTATCCTTCCACCCCATTTGATTTGACCCATTTGAGTATGCTGTGATTAACACTTGAAATTCAACAAATTTAACTGCCACAAGTTGTAATAAAGAACTCATCGTGGAAAAAACACGCTGTATTTTGTATTTTCATTGGATTTTTAATTGATAAAAAGTTAAACAAATTAAATAATACATTTTGAATGAATGAGCGTCACCAGAGAATGTCTAAATGGTGCGTTCTATTAGCCAACGAACCGACTCGGATCTCGGATTTGACGTCACGTCCACACTTCTAGTGTTCTATTATGTTTTCCATCCGGAAAGCTGATGGTAGCACTGGCTACCAGGCACTTACATTATATATATATATGTGTGTGTGTGTGTGACTTATAATGACTTTATCAAAACGCAGCCATTTGAACTTGAAAATGTTCACTTTATTTAACTCACAACAAACCGATTCCCATACCGCAGTAATACGAGTGATTATAATCGTCATTTAAAATACCAAAGCGGTTCAAAAACAATGAAAACTTTGGCGTCACGTCTCGCTTGTTAACTTCTAACCGGAAGACGCATTGACGCAAGGCCTCATGGGACGTAGGAAACTTGTGGATATTATATTATATACTATGCAATGTTTACTGTGTGTCATTCATGTTCGGAATATGTTGCTTCACAGTAGCCTTCACTTAAAATCTTTAGTCCAAGATTGGATAATAAAATTTGCCACTGAATTAATTCCGGCCTCTACATACCGCGAACAGCGCATTGTCCCTGAGCTCCGTAACGACATCTCTCATAAAGATTTGCGTAGTTTAAATAGTAAAACATTATCCGAAAAACACCAAGCCTCTTCGCTAAATCACACAAAATACAAAATACCATTGGTGTGGCGAGGCTGACCGGAGTTGCACCTATGAGTTGCACCCACTTTATTTGTGGCTGAGAGACGTAACTTAAGTTACATTAAATATATTTTTTGTTTCCATTTGCTCAAATAGAAAAAAGAAAAAGCGTGTTTTCACAACTTTCAAAAAGAGACTAAAAAAAAAGATAACGTTACAGCAGTAAGAAGAGAAGATGTCAAATTTACCGTCACTCCCACAGACACTGTAAACACCCTCACAGCAGCGTTTATTGACTAACTTGATGATTTGATGAAAATCTAAATACTAAGTTTAGTGTTATAACTAATTTACCAACCTCAAGAAATAAGATTATTGAACAGCAGCACCACCGTCCGTCCAAATGCTACACAGAAGAGTTGCACGTCCGACCCTTTTACTGCGTCCGACTAGTGGAAGAAATTTGTGCTGAACTGTACTCCTGGAAGGCTGCGTGGGATTCAATGCTTGAGACTAAACTCTGTCAAGAGTTAGTTATCCGAACGATTTCTTTGGAAATAGCAGATTTTCTCTCAAGGAAAGTTATACTTTCGACATTTATTCATATTTCCATTTGACATCCAATGCAATGATCAAATTTATTACTGTTTTTGTTGAATTGTGCATCATTTATCAGACTGTGGCTGATATCACTGAAGGTGAGAGATCTTCATTTTCTCTTTCTATACGAAACAATAGTCGTCACTGGACTGAGTTGTTTTGTACATAACTTGAGCTTTCTCAAACTGTATTTCGTTCGTTAAGTAGCAATAGGGTTTAAATGAAGAACAGCTGTGATTTTGTTTACCTTTGCATTCGACTTTATGGACTAGCAGGTCTAAGTTGAAAAATGAAGATTTTGTTTTAGTTTTTAGGAACGAATTAATTGGATAGTATAGGCTATGTAGGCTAAATTGTCAAACTAAATAACTTTTAAAAGTTATGTGTCGTAGTAGCCGTCTTTTTCCCTCTAGAGATTATCAAAGCTCAAATGCCATTCAATTGCGCTCTAGATTTCTTGGATGATTTAGAATCATAAATGATTCAGATTCCAGGGGGAATGAAATTTTGGTACTTGGTCTAATGTTGGAACAAAAATAGACAAACTTTGATCCATTTACCGTTTAATGTAGCCAGAAACATATGATTAACATGTTCTCTATTTGATGTATGTCCATGCTGTCTAAACAGTTGTAATTATAACCCAGTGACCCAGTAAATGACTAAGTGTGAGCTTACCATCTGTGGCAGGGCCCTAATTTGACCAATTAAAGGAAGAACTTTAACTATATATTTCACACATGGGTTGATTCCCATGCTATGCATGTAAACTGATTAACCAAAACAAATGCCATGCTCATAAATAAGTTATCATCATTTTGCATATTTTCATATTTTATTAAAAGTGGTTAATTTGAGTAAAGTAGTTTGGCTTTCTGCACAGTTTCAAACAGTTTGTGAAAATGAGAGCAACATTTTCCTCTCAATTTAGGAAAGTTTTGCTACATAATGTTTTCCAGGTAGGGTAAAGCAGACTGGGTATTGACAAATGTTGAGTCACAGTCTTGGTATGATGCAACTTTTTAGACCGTAGACAGCTGCAGTCAGTTTCCCTGAGTATGAATTCAACATTTATATATTTAACAAATGTATTTAAAGTCTGACCATCTGTCCAGGACTCCAGGGTGTTTTCTATATGGGCCAAGACTCTGGGTTAAGCTCCAGCATCCCGGTAACCCTGCATAGGAAAAGCAGTTGGGAAATTGGATGGATGGATATTAGAAATGAGATCCCTCTAGGCCTGGCAACAACTTTGCATACTGTTATCCTCTCTCCATAAACATCATTGGCTCAGACATGTCTCGATTTTTTACCTTGAAGAAGAAAATGGTGATTTGGAGGGATCAGAGAAAGTACATTGTACTACTTATTGAGTACTACAATAAGTAGTTCAATGAATACATAATTATCCATCCATTTTCTATATTTACTTGTC